GGGGGGGAAGAAAAAAAAAACCCCAAGGAAAAAACAAAGGGAGGACTTTGGTGTGGGGCATTTTCAGCCAGCCTCCAAAGTCGAGAGGACTTTCAGCACACAGCTTTTTCAGCCAGGCTCCAGAGACGAGAAGCAGTCCTCTCTGCAGGCAGCAGCGGCTTGCAACCTTCCTTGCTGGCTTCCCCATTGACTTTCTGGGGAAGCCAGCAGGGGAGATTGTAAATAGCAATCACATGTTGGGAACTGGTTGTATGTGCAAACAGATTGCCAAGGGCCCAGATCGCTGCAACAGCCATACCTTTGGGTACAGGTCATAAGTCCCTTCATTCAGCACTGTCATACTGTAAATTAGAACAGTCACTGAATAAATGGTTGTTAAGTGAGGACTACTTGTACACAATACTATTTATCAGTATTATGCAATAATACTGTTCTGGCTTACATACAAATTTGACTTAAGGACAGACCTTGGGAACAAAACTTGTTCTTAAACTGGGGACTACCTGTATATAAACACACATTCTAGATTAAACTTGCGTGAATGCCTTGGTATTATGCTCCCTAGTAGGCCTGTGTGAAGCTTTGACAGAATTTTTCAATTCAAAGGCAATTTGGTCAAGTAATTTCTTTGAATCAAATGTTTGAATTGATTTGAGGCATCAAATCAGGAGCATTTTAATACCTTCTGAGAGATTCAGTGGACCTTCTGGTGCTTTCTGGCTTTGTAGTCTCAAACCCTGATGCAGCTTTCTTTCCATATACCATACAGATACCGACGAAGGGGTTGAGTGATGTGATGGGCTGATACAGATATGAGTTCAATGAGTTTTCTACAGTACTTCCACAGGTATGCCTATCAGAGTGCTGGTTTACTATTTTGTTTAGGTATGTTCACTTGGAGGGAGAAACTCAGACTTTTATTTATTTTGCTGCTCTTTTTTGAACTGGTTTATTCTTTCTTCTGTGATCATCTACCTTTCTCCAAATCCATATCCTTTTTCCTTATCTTTCCTTAACTTCTATCTGCCAAACCTGTACTATAGTCCTATAGTCTATATAGAAGTCTTCAGCCTTTCATTCCCCCCCTCCCCCAATTAAAAACAACAAAAATCCAGGTTTCTCTCTGCTATTTGTCTTTGTTTTGTCTTGCAAAGAAGTTTTCATAATATAAGCAGATCGAAAATGTGTGCTTGATATTAAGACTATTGGGTACGATATGTTCCATTTCTTTATATTATAGCTTACTATATACACAGTAATGGACATACAGAGAAACACTTTCTAGTCTCTTCCTCTTTTTAAAATTGCTGCATAAACCATATGTAACATTTGATTGCCAGAAGTGGCTAACTTTGCCAATGATCCATGGCAATGTTCAAATCATCATGAGTGCCACAGTTCACCAGAGCTGAAGAGCTTAAGACACTGAAACCTTTTGGTACGTTGATACAGAAGTTGCTCATGAATCAAAAATAAAGAAAATGACGACTATCACAGCACACCATAAAATATAAAGATATTAAATAAAAAGACTTTATTGCATAGCAGAGCTACCTTTTTGACATTTCACTTTGGCCACTTAGCTAGCAGTGTTGTTCATTAACTACAGCATCAATATTTGGTTTTTAATCTTGACACAAAGCCACCTTCAGTGTGGCTTGCAAATGTTCATCAATCAGACTTGACTTCAACACAGATATTTTAATTTTTATAGAGAGAAAAATGGTTTACATTTATACGTGCATGCAAACATTATGGGTTCTGAGACTTCTCCTCTTGCAATCTGGAGAGCAAAGAGTAACCCCAGGAACAAAAATCTAAGATCTCTCATTAGCAGTCTTTTTTAGAAGGAAGGTTAAGGTCACAACACAAGAATTCCAGCAACTCTACTTTCAAATGAGAAACCTATTTATAAGCAATCTAAGGTGGAAACACTCTGGTCTGTTTTCTTATGCTTTTTCAGTGCTAAGGGTAGATGGCTTGTCTCTTTTGGGAAGATGGGGCATTTTGCACATATAGGCCTTTACTGCTCTGGACTTCTTTGTGCAAAATGCAACATATACTAGTAAAGCTGCTGCCTGATACATGAGGATACTAGGTTTTTTCTTCAACCCCAAATATCCCCAGCATTACTACTAAGTGAAAATTGTAAGATGGCAGCTGTGGAGGCGAAATGAGAAATGCTTTTCTGTGACTTCGCTATGGAAGTAATGATGAAACTGAGGGATAGCTACAAGGGCTGAGGAGAGGGTACCCGCTTGCTTATCCTGAAGAGGTTTGCAATCTTTCCTGATGGAGCGGTGAGAGGGCTGAGAAGCCAACAGTACCCAGTTCAAGCAGCCTGGCCAGTGAAACAAGCACTGAGTAGATCCCCAAGGCCTGCCTCACTCCTTGCTTACAAGAAGCCACAATCATTGCCTTTTTGTTCACTCTGGTGCATGCACAAAGCCCACCCTCTTCTCCCTGGTTCTAGTCCAAGGGCCTTTTCCCTCCCTCTTTACCCATCATGAAGCCAGCACCCAATCACCAAAAGCACAAACCATCTCCCTCCCTGCAGAAGCACAGACCTATGCCCAGACTGCCCATTGAGTAACTTTGCAATAAAGTTAGAGCCAATTCGCTTAACTGCCTACATAAGATAACGTTGCCCTTTTCTTTCTCTTCCTTTTCCATTCAGCAACTACTCAACCATCCCATCTCAATACATTTGTTAACATCTGTGCCAATCAAATTAAACTCCTCCTCCTACATTTACAATGATGGGGTGGCATGTAAAGTTTTAGACCAAAGCAACTGGCTATGAATTTCATCATCACAGCCAACCCAGGGCACTGGCCAAAGGGAAAGTTCATAAAAACAGCAACAGGGGAACTTTAGCACACACAGAATGCATGCTTAACTTAATGGCTTGTGATTTTGAACCTGAAAATATTATTGTGGGGAACAAGTATTTGGAGGGCTGCATGTGGCAAGTTTGAGGCCCCTGAGTTAGAGGATGGTAAGCTCTTCCATCTTTAGTAAGAGTTTACTTTTTAAACAGTTTTTGAAAATTTTTACCTATAGAGTCAGAAATTTTCTGCATTGGTTCAGCATAATCTCCGTATTCTTTTTAGCTAGGCAATCTGGAAACTGTTATGCAGTCCTTTCCTCATCCCTGCTATCTCAGCCTTAAAAGAGGTGCAGGAGAAGTATTTAAAAGATGTATTACAGTAAAGCTTCTGAAGCAATCTGGCTGAAATTTTGCAGGATTCTATAAAAAATGAAACACTTTGATGATTCCCCATTAACACCTATGGTTGAATAAGATGCGATCAAATTTTGAATTTATTTAAAGCAGAGCTTGTTGCCTTCCAATCTTGCATTAACTAACCTCAAATTTCGTTTGGACTTCTCGGAAGCGCAAACCCATAGCGCTGACTCTTCAGCATCTCATGACCTAATGACCAGAAGGGGGCACTAGTATATAGACAGTAAAGGGTTTACTCCGTGTTCTGTCTTGGTCTACCACTGCACTTTGTTTTAGAGATTGCTGATCTCCGATTGCTTCCTTCTGCTTTTCTTCCCAGGCACATTCACATGGAGAACATGCTCTTGGACTCTCTTTCTGGTGGGATGTAGTTAGCCAGGTGCTCAGCTTTGTTTGTCCATATATTTCCTGTAAATAAATCTGTTGTCATTATAGAACCTACTTGAATAATTAGTGCTCAGGTCAGATTCTTGTTCTCAGGCACGCTCTACTGCGCACACGTGCACAGAACACTTCAACCTCCAACAGGATCTTGGCTGATTAGAACTCCCCTATTCCTAGTAATTATGCTTATGATTGCAAAAAAATTGAAAGTACAATCCTATGCAGAAGTCCCACTGGTTTCAAGCTGCAGGCTAAGAGTATACTCTTACGCATGCTTCCTCAGAAACATATTCCCTGGTAAATGTGCATCGGTCTGCAGCCTAAGTCCCATTCAGTTGAATATGTTTAACTTATGCTAGGAAATGGGTACTCTTCCTTTCTCTCCACTACAAAATGCATTAAAATAATTAACACATTCAAACCCTTGTATTAAAGAAGACTAAAGCATTTTAGTAAAAGCTTGAATGATTGAAACATAACTGTGTTCCTTTTCCAAGCTTATCCTCCAGCATATTTGTCTGACTTAAAACAGCTCACAGAAAAGTATCAGTATCAGCCACAAAAAATAACAGCTTAGGTGTTCTTTTCTTCCCCTCAACATTTGTAGAGTACAGGGTTCAACTTTGTCAAACAAACAAGGCCTGATTGAAAAAGTGCATCTTTGTAGGCAGTGAAACACAATGATTCTTTTGTGCAATAAAAATACATTATTTATTCCCAGAAAAAAATGCACGTGTCAGATAAATGTTCAAATATTTTCATTAAAGACATTAATAAGAGGGAAGCACTAACATATGTCTACATACCATATAACCATAACTTTTTCAAAAATTGGTCAATATACTCGACTATGTAAACATCATTGTGTATTATTCTAGGAAATGCCTATTGCTATGAAAATAATAATCATACCCTACCACTGAGTTGGGATATTACAATTTAAACTTTATTCAAGATCCATTTCAGCTAACTACACCAAAATTCTCTGCTTTTTTCCATTCTTCTAAACTGCTTACTTTTTATTCCAACACAGAGAGTATGGTGCCATGCCACTTATTAATTCCCCAATGGATTTGTTAGCAAAAATAACTATCTTGGAAGTTGCACTAAATCTTATTATGAGTTTTATAATGGTCATGGTACTAATCGACACCTAGCTGGTAGACCTACCAACAAATTAAGGTGGAGTTTGGAGGTATTAGGGAACAATGATGGACTGCATTCTTCTGTCCCCAAAGGAGGCAGTTGGAAGTTCAGACAGGCTGTCCTGAGTTTTCTGGAAATGGTCTGAAATTGAAACAAGCTTTCTGAGCCTGGAATGTGTAGTAGCCTGATAGAGCCATCCATGTTGCGGTCAAAAACAAGAATGATCAAATTGGCCAGTTCTAAGGCTGAAGCAACTGTTCAGAAACAGAGTACTTCTGGAACTCTCAGAACGACTTGTTCCAAAATCAGAACAGCTCATTTTGGGATCTGAATCTTCTATGATGGAATTTTTGCAAACCTTAATTACAGACTAAGTTGGGAAACATTAAAGATGTAAAACAGTATTTGGGCGTTGCCAGCACCTGTGTTTACATTCTATACTTTTTCTCACACACACATATATTCCCCACAGATTAAACTCCTATAATTCCCCATAATTAAACTCCTATAGTGATGTTGATACAGTATTAAAATTGTTCAAGTGTTAGGAAACATTTGTCACAGTCAATTCAATGGATCATCTTACCTTTTAAGTTCTCCACAATACCAAAAAATAAATCAGTGGAAGGCACTGCAAAGTTAAATAACAATAGTTATATTTACCTTACCTTTCTATATATAAAATAAATTTCCGGGTAACCAAATGTAAATCTGTTTCATCTACTTTGGATAATTCCATGACTGCCAAAGAATTATTTAGAACAGTGAGGCCCTCTGACTGCTAACTTCAACTGTCCTACATACATACTGATAGATGGCACATTAAAGTTTCTTAACTTTTCTGAAAGCCTTTTCTTTTTGTAGTGTTTGACATCTGCATGGGATCATCCTCAGTCTAAAATAAATGCTAACAAATTGATGCATACATTCTTTGGTTATTATGCAATTTACAGTATGTTCCCTAATCCTCCCAATGAAATGGTAATTTGTAGATTTATAATGAAATAGTAATGGAGAAAAGAGGGCATAAATAACCTGTTGATTATTCTTACAAAAACTACAAACAAAAGTATGATCTTCCTTGTCATGTGACATTTTCTACTAATTATGGAAACAACAGCTATGTATTGAGCACTAGCTTTGAATTCTCTTAGATGAAATTTGGGAGATGGAGAAAAAAGGAGACAATGCGGTCCATTGTAAACTGCATATCCATGCTCTTCACATTATACCCTTACCGGCAACATTTTTTTTTCTTTTCCCTTTTCTGTTTTTCCCCCCAATTTAAGGAAGAATTATATGAAATCTGAAAGTTAAGTCACTATTAGTAGCATTTGTAGCTTTAGCTGCTGTAGCTATTTGTATTTTCTCTGACAGACCAACTAAGCCACTTGATTTTTTTTTTACTTGTTATGGGTGTTATGGAGAACCATTCCTATCACAAGTTAGGCTTTTTTACCCATATTATCCAGAAACAGTTTAGGAACTTAAGAAAATCCCTAATATTAAGCATCTAGAAAACATAATCCATACCATATTATTTATTGAGAATATGAATGTATGTATGTATGTATGTGTGTATGTATATATATATATATACCCATATATTCCAAAAATAAAATGAAATAAAAAACAAAACTGGAACAAGGCAATATGCTGTCAAATGCCATAATAATTTTCTACATGTGCCATACTAGAAAACAGCTGTTGTTTGGTGTCATGGCTATTGGTCCAAGTCACTTCTTTGAGACAATGCTGCTGGTTTGTAGAGAATCTTACAAATTCCTAAATGTCTTACTCTGAAATAGCCTTCAATGGCACTAGGCTCTTGGATTAAGCTATTCGTCAACTGAGGTTCAACACTAAATATACAGTATTTTGGAATATTGCTGTTTATACCCTTTCATGATGTCCAACCTCAGCCATTTCTTTCAGATATTGTTTATTATTATAAGAAAAAAAAGACCATTCAATATGTTTCTACATATCTCCTGATATATAAGTTAAATATCATAGAAACTGTGCTTCTTTAAAGACTAGGATAAAAAACAAGGCACAAGCAGATATAAGGTCCATTTCATAGGTTTGTGATGTTTTTCATTACAACATCTTATGTTGTTATGTTATTTTACAACATCCCTCCAAGGGAGTAAAATACCCAGTTTCGTTAACATGAGACCACACATATGAAGTCTTCATGATGTCAGACTCATTTTTTTCATGTAACAGAGAACCATCATTCCATAATTTATAAGAATGCATCTGTTAATCTGTGACATATACATATACATATATAGTTTTAAGCTATGTTTTATAAATGTAGTCAGCTCATATCTCCTTTTTTTCAGGTAATAATAAACCCAACCTTCCCAAAAATTATATGCACAGCTTTTCAAAAACTCTTTCCCAGCTATTCCAAAATCTGATACAGTCTTAAGACTTTCTTCAGATCTGCTATGAAGATATCAGCTCCCTCATCAGATAGATCATTGACATCTGGCAAGAAGATGTTTGATTTATCAGAGGTAATCAAATTATGTGACAGAAAGTGCACACCAATTTTATTACAATAGTCTACCATAACCTTGTTAACATGTTTTTGAGCTTTTTCCATATGTTCAGGTTTTTGGTCTTTCTTCCAAATACGTCTTGGTAACAGTGAAGACCAAACTATAACGGTATCTGGGAATGCTCTTTTAAGAATGCCCAAATCATTTTTCATTGAGATAATGAGAGAAATATTATTTTGGGGTAACAGATCATCTTCACCAAGATGAATTATTATTACTGATGGAGGAGATCGGAGATGATAAATTTCATGCAGAAGAGGCATGAGCTGCTTCCACATCATGGCCTGTATCCCATGCCAATACACATCCGCCCGTGAAGATGAGATGCCCAACTGCAATCCATGTGGGTGACTTTTGGCTCTTTTCTTTGATGCCAAGATCACAGAATTCCCACATATCCATATTTCCTTTGGTGTAGGTTGCAGACTTCCAGCACCTAAAAGCAAAATACCACATTAACTCCTTTGCTTTGAGCTCTACATAAGTTTACTACTCCAACATCAGAATTTCCAGCACTAATGCCTCCTGAAATTAAAATATTATAAAAATGTTATTATGTTGGACAACTGATATCAACACTCTCAATACCAAAATCAAGAAGTGCAAGTTAATTATATTTTCAAGGAGCCTATTAATATGTACCACAATTAAGTTTCAGAATACTTTTAAGACAACAGATTACATGAATAGAATGAACAGAAGTAAGAGGGGGATGCAAAGGAAATCAGTTCAGCCATGACGTGGAGATGAACTGGCACACAAACAAGGATTATGCCTTTAAAACATATGTGGGGATTAACAGAAGAAGATGAAAGAAGGATTTTTCTCTTCATATTTCTGGGCCACCACTATTCCAAAGACAAGCAAGAGCTTGGCTTACACAACCGTTGTCACCACTATTAATTTTTCACCCAGGAGCAGCAGTAATGTCTAAGCAAGAAAAGTCGTAAGAGCATTGCTATTCTTAGTGATCTTCACAGCACCACCTACGGAACAGTCTTCCCTCTGAGATTCAGAGAACCCAAACTCTGTTGACCTTCCTGAAGACTATTAAGACTTGGCCTTTTCCCCAGGCATTAGGGCCAGGAGCCCAATATATGGTAAAATTGTTATATAGTGCCTCAGTTTTTCTTCTTTGAACCAGATTATTTTTAATTTTGATTATGGGGTTTTTATATTGTTTTTTGTATTGACTGCTTACCACCCAGAATTATGCATTTAAGATGGGTGGTTATATAAGTTTTTGAAATAAATAAATCACTTTCCAGTCATTGTGAGACCACCATGCGTGTAAATGTAGCAAAAGCACTTTAATATGAACTAGAGACAGCATCACTGCTGTATTTGTGGCATCTCTCTGGAACTCAAGAATCAGAAATATCCAGCTCTTTTCACCTGAGTTTGAATCGTGATTGTCTCACTGCTGAAGTAATCACACCATCTTCCTGATTCTGAATGGGAAAAAAAAAATTGTGAAAAATAAGATGAAGAGGCAAGATTAAAGCTTGAGATTGATAGAAATATACGTAGGAAATACCTCTTTAGTTTGAACAAATTTAAATCTCAGAACCAGATGAACTGCATCCTAGCAGGAAGTAGCTGATGATCTAATCGAACTCTTATGTATTATTCTTGCAAATTCCTGGAGAATTAGTCAAATGCCAGGTATCAGGAGAAGGAAAAATGTTATCCCTTTTTTCAAAAATGGGGAAAGGAAGAAGTAGTAAATATCCAGTCTGGCATTAGTATCTGGGGAGATTCTATAGCAGATCACAAAAAAGTCTGAACTATAAGCACCTTGAAAACTGTAGGAATTAGTAGAAGTCAGCAAGAATTTATCAAGAACAAATCTTGCCAGAGTAACCATGTCTCACTTCTGATCAGGCTAACTTTCTTGACAAATTGTGGGAATGTTGAAGACATAATATATCTTGACTCCAGCAACTCATTTGATGAAGTACCCCATGAGATGCTGATTCACAAACTAGTTAAGGGTGGGCTGAATGGCATGATAATTAAGTGGATATATAGCTGGCTTATGCTCAAAGTATGCTCATCAATGATTCTTTATCAGATTGAGAGGTATTGAGTGGGATGACATAAGGATCTATCTAATCTTCAATACTTTATTACTGATTTGGATAAGAGGTAGAAAAAACATTAATCAGATATGCAGAACATAGAATTTACAGCTAATGCCCTAGAAGAGACATATCCGACTCAATATTGATGAGTTAGAGAAATGGGCTGAAAGTAACAATATGAAACTGAAAGGAACTAGTTCTTCAAAGTTCTTCACTTAAGAAACCAAAGTCAAATGTACAAGTATAGCCTGTTAATAGTACGTGCAAAAAGATCTTAGAATAGTAACTGATTGCAAATTGAATATGAGCCAGCAATGTGATGGATTGTAAGAAAGCAAGTACAATTTTAGACTGCATCAAATTTCCAAATCATGGAAAGTAATCATTCTATTCTATTCTATTCTATTCTATTCTATTCTATTCTATTCTATTCTATTCTATTCTATTCTATTCTATTCTATTCTATTCTATTCTATTCTACTTTGGTAAACTCCACTGCTTTGCATCTCATTCTCAGCACCACACTTGAAGAAGGATTTGGAGAGATTAGGGCAGGTTCAGAGAAGGGTGAAAAAAGATTATCAGGGGACTAGAATCTAAGATCTATGAAAATAGATTGAAACAGCTGAAAAAAGATGACTGAGATCAGTATGATAGTACTCTTCAACTAAAACACCTGAAAAGATGCTACACAGAAAAAGGTCAAGACCTATTCTTTCTTGCTTCAGAGTACAGGATAATAGATTTAAGTTATAAGCAGGTTCTGATTGGACATTAGGAAAAAAATCATAACAGCATCCAGGAAAGTGGTGTGCTCCCATTCCTTGGATACATTAAAACCAAAGCTAAACAGCCATTTGTCTGAAATGCTTTACTGCACTGGATTTGATGGCCAAAATGTCCCTTTCTAACTCAATGATTCTAAGTCTCTGTATAATCTTGATAATTTAAATTAAAGCTGCAAATATGATGTGGGTACACAATTTATATTGGAACATGCAGTTTCTATATTATCATTATCAGTTACATATTACCTTGCCTTTTCAATAGCTATTGGGCCAAGACAAAGCCACAGTAATCAGTCATGTCACATCAGATTGATGTGGGATTGAGAGTTTTTCTATCCCACTCATTTGCGCTCATTTTTCCGGCAGAAGTATAACACCAACAGAAGTGTCACACGTATAATGGCAGGACATATATACACACGAAGAGGTTTCTGTATGAAGAAACAAAACACATTTCTAGGTTGGTTGGAAACATGGCCTCAACATTCTGGTAGCTGCCTTATTTAACTTACCCTCTGCTGATGACACAACAGTTATTACAGCTCTACGTTTCTCATTGACTGTCTTCTTCCTTTTCTCTAGTCCTGCCACCAGTGGAATAGGATTCAAGTCCTCCTGAGAAGCTACTCCATTGCTACCTTCCAAGTTCAATGCCGGGACACTTTCGGCGGCTACCATGGCTGCTGGACCTAGCAAGCCACGGCGACCAGCTGCTACGATTGCCTCTAGGGCTTTCAAAAGAGAGGAGTTGGGGGGGATGTCCTTGGGATCAGGGGGCTTGGCATCTTTATTCCCTGTAGTCTTACAGAGAGCAGGGCTGTTGTCATTGTGCCTGATGGGAACCATTGCAGAAAAGAGGACTTCAAACTGTTTGGGACGATTTAACTTAATGGCAGAAACAAGGGACTCTTCACTGAAGCTGCCTCCACGGTCCACGGACCGTCCTTAAAAATAGACCCGCCCTTCTCAGGATGGCGCTTCGCTGACCTAGGCTGGAGAGGCGGCGTGGGTGGATAATGCTCCAGCTAGGAGCAGCTGGGGACGTTGTTGTGGAGCGGCGACAGTCAGAAGAGGCAGAGGACCGGGGCAGTATATAGGTGTATATTTGGTCATTGCCTCTGGAGCCGCAGGGCGCCTAAAGTCCGGCCCGTGCCCCCATCTGCGCCCCGTTTGTGGAGGGAGCGGAGGCGCTTCTCTGGAGACAGGCCCTGCCCAGCCTCAGCCGCTCCTAAGTGGGCTCAGGGAGTGACTCCAAGGGCTTCCTGAGGACTAAGGTCCCTCCCCGGCCACTTATTCGCGACAGGAACTGCTAACGGGTCCTTCCCAGCGGCTGTTGCAAAGACCACTCAAAAGCGGCGCCTCTCCATCGAGTCGGTCACGCCGCGGGGGGAAGGAGCAGCCAAGCACAGCGGCCTGTTACCCTGGAAACCACTTCCCGGCCACGTTTCTCTTCTAACCCCGACCAAGGTTTAAACAAGAGTCGCCGAGCAAAAGCAGCAGAACAGAAACCGCGGAATTGAGCGGAAAATGGCTCCGCTCGGCCGCCGTGGTTTAAAAAAAAAAAAAGGCATTTGACCTCGGAAATACGCATGTGTATCTAGATTAACTGGGTTCTGATAGATATGTAAATTAGAGGCGCACGGAACGTTCACTTCCAGGTTCCTTTAAGCTCTTTGTCTCCTGGGAAGAATAGAAAAACAGCGGACTAATCTATGACAAAGCAACAAGTCCCGCTTAAATTATGTGAAAAAGTTACTAAGGCAACGTTAACAATAAACTAGATGCTTTGAATTTATAGGCTCAGAAGGTATATAAGTAAGAAAAAAGGGTACTGTTGAACGTTGCCAAAAGTCACAAGCTCAACAGCAGCAAGCCCCATCTTACCAGAAGGGCATTATTATTGGTGGGGCGGTTTTTAAATATTTCTACCATTTTACCAAGCTGATGGTTTTTCACTGCTTCTTAAGAGCGGCTCTCACTTTCGCTCGCGGAGAGGAAAGAGAAAGGGTTAGGGTTAGGTAATAGCTGAGCTATTCTTTAATTTCTTAGATCTACATTTTCCTCTCCGCAAACATGCGCTGCGCGCGGGTTTCTACATGCAAATAGAGATATAGGGCGCTTTTTTCTGAGCTCTGTGAGGGTGCGCATGTGCAAAAGGAAAGATAGTTGCAAAGAGAGCGGGCACCGTCGTCTGTTCGTACCCCAGTGCGGTGTCCTGCAGGAGTTTAGGCTGGCGGGAATTCTGGGAGGTAGAGTCCCAGGATACCGGCCTGGTTCACAAACGCACTAACAGGGTTCCTCAACCCTGGCAACTTTAAGACGGGTGGACTTCAACTCAAGGCTGGCTGGGGAATTCTGGGAGTGGAAGTCCACTCGTCTTAAAGTTGCCAAGGTTGAGGAACCCTGCACTAAACCAGAGGGATTATGTTTGCATGGCCATCTCTTCCTTGATTTAACTGGTCTAACTTTCTGCATTCCACAGCAAATCGAATCATAAACTATTCGTTCTGGAAGGGTTCACACAACACGTTAGGACTAAAATGCAGGGTCCAGTCTTGCTCAGGGTGTCATGTCAACATAAATCTGGAAGATTGCTCCATCCTAATTAGTGTTTTAAGATGCACTCTTATCAACCAGCTGATTCCCATCCCATAACAGGATAAAATGTAATTGGCTAGTTTATGGCTCTGTGTTGGGTGACCTGAGCCCTGAATAGGTACAGACTTAAAGTCCTTGCAATTGTGTTTTGCCATCTCAAAGGCTAGTTCAGGAGTGAGAAACTTGACCAAACTCTTGCCTTCAAAAGGGAATTCTCAAGCTGGAAAAAAAAATCTGTAAACATTTAGCAAATTAGCACCTTGGTCTCTATGGTTAATTATTCAGAGTAAGTATATTGTGGGAACACAATTAAAACCTGATGCTTTTTGAAAAATAACTTTAGATAAATTTAAGCTGTTGGAAAACACGGACTGGACATTATTTAAATAGTGACCCCATAAAGCCTGAGGATACACATCATTTTTATATTACTTCATTTTAATTCTCATGAGAATGAGTGAGTTCATCATAAAACATGCTTAGCCAAAATGTCATCTGTTCTGGGGGACTATGGCATGCAAATCTAGCACTGTAACTTGTAAATAATTCAAACTCAGCGAACAGAGATATAATCAATAAACCATGGTTAAACAAATGTCTTAGCAAAATAGTGTTCCTGGAGTATGTCTGTGTAAAAAAAAAAAAAGCAAAATAGAAGATGTGGGGTTGTGATGGAAGCCCTACTGAAGTTGACACATGTAAAAAAAGGGGTGGAGCTTGCATCACAATATTGTAATACTTGCTTTTTTTGATCCTCCCCCTCGCCCCCAATGGACACCATTTTCTTACCATAATGTATAAACTCACAGATAAGTCATTGTTTTGTCTTCGTTCACTACCAACTTAAAGGGCTAATATTTAGAATATACTAAAAAAGAACTAAAATAGATTAACTATCATAGATAAAAAGATTGGGCAGAGCAAATGGTGGTACAGGCTTTTTCTTTCTCATCTTTTCTCCTATAGTGTTTCCCTTTCTTTTTTGGCTAGCGCAGTCAGTGGCTAGGTTTCCGTACTGTACTAAGTGATAAGGCTTAGTCATGAGCCATTTATTCTTGAACATGTCTATTACTGATCTGTGGAGTGAATGCCTTGTGGATGATAGAAAATTAAGTGGGGTAGCTTATACCCTAGAAGACAAAAATAAAATTCAAAATATATCTTGATATATTTGAGAAATGGGCTAAAAATAACATTATGAAATTTAGCAAATACAAAATTATGTCCTTCACGTGCAGAAAGCAAATGCCCAGGTTTAGAATGGGAAATATATGGCTTGGCAATACTACTTGGGAAAAAGATCCTGAACTAGTATTTGATTGCAAACAAAATAGCAATCAATACTGTGAAAGGGCTGCAAAAATGGTAAATGCAATTTTAGACATCAGCAGAACCAGTTTCACTTTATTCTGAATTTGTCAGTACCCACCTCAATATAATGTCCAGTTCTGAGCATCACACTTTAAGAAAAATTCAGACAAACCACAAAAGTTTCATAAAAGAGTAATGTGCATGGTTAGGGAAACAGAGAAATGTTAGGAAAGTTTGAACAGTTTAAAAGGAGACCATGTACAGTACTCCACTGGATATGTCCAAGCAGAGGCCAGATAGCCATCTGTTGCCAGTATTTTAATTTAGATTCTTGCACAGAGCAGACAGACAGAAAATGGCCTCTTCTAACTCTGTAGTTCTCTGATTTCATAATATGGTTTGCATTATGTGAGTCCAACCATTATGATTTTATGAGCCATGGTGTATGTCCTAGTCTAGTATGTGAATCCAGTTGGTTGTGGCTTCATGTGATGTATAAACCCTGTCAATTTAGATGGAAGTTACAATGCCAATTTTAGGGCTGGTGTAGTTTAGAGCTTTAGGGGTTTGTACATGGAACAAAACAATTCACAATCCTGTGGATCAACACCCTTTCCTGACATGATCCATTTGCAAGACTACTATCCCCAATGGTCCTCAATTATCTTCCTTGAGAATTGAGGAACCTTCTTTAAAATACTTTTTCTAGCTGCCTGGCATATATAGTACTAGTACGTAACTACAGAGAGAGTGTCCTTAGATATGTCATGAAATATTGCGCTTATATGGTGCATCCTTCTATCAGGAAAGTAAGCCAAACACTGTGAACAGAAAAAAAGGGTCAAAATGCTGATTCACTCCAAAGAAGTGGATTTAGGGCCATCTCTGCGTCCGTGCAGTTTTCAGTTTCATTTTTCTTATCTGAAATAGCACAAGCACAAATACCAAGCTTTCAAGTAGCTGGTCAGCTGGACATATACATTTGATTTTGCTATCAGTCCTGAAATACGTGGAACAAGAATGCTTTTATTTAAGAAAACAAAAGTTTCAGAAATCATTAAAATAACCCAACATTCTTTCAGCAGTATACCCATTCACCATCACAGTATAAACTGTTGGAAAAATAGCGTGAAGAAAAAACCCAGCATCCTTCTCTCTTCTCCGCCACCTGGGTGGTGAGGTTTGGGTCTGTTCTTCTATTCTGTCAGGATACAGATCAAAGTCTCCCAAACTTTATTAAGCGTCTGCACAGTCTTGGTCAGACATGCAAGAACTTGTTACGTAAGGTTCCAAGGTGAAAGTCCTGAACACACACACAAGCAAGCTTATATAGTCCATTTCATACAAGGCATTTCAAATGGTGCCATCGCACTGGCTAATCTTCATCTGATTATTTAAGCGTTTCTAAGCGAGTAGGAAATCCCCCACAAGTTTACCTTTGTACTGTACGGTGGCATTTCCTGAGCAATCGTCTAGAGGGTTTGTCCCATTATCTATAGCAGCTGTTTTGTGGCGCAGCCTGCAGTTTCACTGTGTCGAAACAGCACAATTTCACCTGCGTAACCATAGCAACTGTTTGCTTTTCTATTCCGGGCTGTTTCAGCTAACTTCACATTCTAATAATGATGTCACTTTGGCAAGGGCTCCACTTCTTTTTCCTCATGAATCCACCAAATTCTTCTGGGTTCATTCATCTCTTACAAAAGCCAGTGCTCGAATATCTTTTTAAGAAGAAAATAAAAGTGATTTGGTCTAGCCTTGTTAAAATGTAGGTGTTTGCTGTTCTACCTCAGCAGATGGCAGCACCAAGTCAACTTTGCTTACCTTGGAAGTTAAGTAGGATATTTATTTATTTATTTATTTATTTATTTAGCTAGCTAGCTAGCCTTTGAGCTATTATTGAGCTAAATAAATTATTTATTTAGCTAGCTAGCTAGCCTTTGAGC